TGGGCTCAGAGGCTATAATGAAAGACTCAGAGCTGCCCTAAGGAAGTTTACAGTCTACCGACAGAAGCAGCTCTTCACAGAAAGAAGAGTGCCCTGGCTGGCAAGAATCCTCAGGACTCTTCTGTCAGACAGGCACAGGTCTAGCCAGAACTTACATGAGAAAAAAGACAAGCTGTCAACATGCAAGTAACAAAAGCAGAAAAACAATTGCATTCGCGTTGTCTCTAATGCATTTAATTACTTTGATTTGTTTTCATTAAATCTTGAAAACCACTATCTATTTATATTTTATTTTATCATTTTCCCATCCAGAGAGCACACATTTAGTCCAACCTACCCTCAGTAAAGGGAGACGCTATTATACCCGCTCTTATTAAGGGCTTCCCCTCTCCTATTAACTGCTTCCAAGCTGCTGGTGGAAATGAATTCTAGACTCTAATACTGGAATTTAAAAATCTCAATGTCATAACAGCTAAATTCCCTACAAGGAAAAGCTTTCTTTAGCTAAAGATTCTTCATGAAATTTGATAAAGCTTTCTTTTTAATATAGAAATAGCAATCCTGCTTAATTCCTGGCTAGAGCTTACAATATTGGAAAGTAAACTTGCTCGTTCACTTAACTCAGTCTGGAAAATATGAGGCTGGTGATGTATTTGCCATGTTTGTCATCAAAGGGGTGCGAGTGTCACAGATCGAGTCCTTACAAGGGAAGAATTTTGACAAGGAAATTGGCCGATGTTTGTAGGCACCAGCTACACAGGAACAGGATCAGAGAGGTGAGGAAACCTCACTAGCATCAGCGGAGACAAAGCCAAGACTCAAACCCAGACCAGTCTGATTGCAAATCAAACATACTTCCCCCACCTCTTAGAATACACTGCAGTGTCACCCAGGACATGAATGTCAGGCAAAATACTAATACTCTTAATTGGATTATCTTCTCTTGTTTCATAATACTCTGGTGACAACTCAACATCCAGCCAGCAATCATTCCCTTAGGAATTTACCTCCATATTTCTGGTACCACAGTAAGAAGAGAGTGCTAATTCACTCTGGGTGATTAAAAGTCATTTCTCCTGGATGGCATTTCCTAAACTGATCTCCTGGGGCATGGCTAAATGGGACCTGGAAACGCGGTACCTGCATCAAATGTCAGAGTCAACAACCATCATGGAAGCAGCATCTTTTGCAGAAGACTCGTTTTTGGGTTCACATCCTGGGGGACAGCTGGGAGTGCCTCCCTCGGTTCATTTCATAAGGAAGCTGAGAGGAAGGACCAGAGCAAAGACACCGAAATGGAGCCTCAGGCTGGGGTGCATGAGGTTCAGGCAACACATCTGCTACATGCCTTTTCCTTTTCTTTCCAATTTTGAGTATTTTTAAAAATTCCTCTAAACTTAATTGGTAGAATGTGAAACAAAAACCTTAAAAGAAGAAAAAAAAAAAACACTTCCATAATTTTCACAACCTACTGACAAAAATTATATTTTACTTAATAAATTAGAAATTATTCAATTCTGTCAAGGATCTTCTAGAGCAACACTGTCCAATGGAAAGATTACATGAGCTATGTACGTTATTTAAAAATTTTAGTAACAACATTAAAAAAGCAAAAAGAAATAATTTTTTCTTGAGAAAGATTAGCCCTGAGCTAACATCTGTGCCCACCTTCTTCTAAAAAAGAACTTAATTTTAATATTACATTTAACTCAAATATCCAAATATTATCATCTCAACATATAATCAATGTAAAAAGTATTAAAAATATTTTACATCCTTTTTTTCTAATACCAGCACTTCAAATCTGCTGTGCATTTGGCACATCTCAATTCAGGCACTAAATTTCCATCAGAAATAGTTGATCTGAGTTAAACATTACAAAATTCACCATTGAAAAAGTCAATCTGCATGCCCAAGTTGTCCCAAACATACTTAAAAGTTTTCTAGTAACGGAATTAACTATCAGCTTTAAATTTTAAATGAACTAAAATTAAGTAAAATTAAAAATTCAGGGCCTCAGTTGCACTAGCCGTATTTCAAGTGCTCAACGGCCATAGGTGGGGAGTGGCCACCATATTGGACTCTGCAAGTCTAGAACTTTTGCTTTGCTCATATCTCAATTCTAGTAAGAATTCTGCCTTACTAGCCTTTCCTCCTCTTTGCTCGTGAAGGAAACCCAGAAAGACTGACTCCCAATGCTTTGCTCTTCCAATGAGCAAGGCCCATTGCAGGATACGATCGCTCTCAGTTTATTCAGGACAAAGATGATCATCCCTGGTCTAAACTACCATATCATGATATAAAAAAGTAGTTCAATAAGCCCAAGTTCAAACCTGAGAGATTGTAAAACTGTAGATATTTTTTCAAGTCAGATTCTGTGCCTCCCTTCTTGTGTCCTGGCAAATTTATCAGCATCTTTATTGAGATTCACTAGGCGCTAGGTCCACGTGCCCTACTCCACACACAGCACATCACTTCATCTCACAGCAATCCTGTGAGACAGGTGAGAGCCAGAGGGTGTTAATAATTTGCTCAAGGTCACACACCTAATTAGAAGGTGTAGAGCTGGGATTCAAGCCCAGAAAGTCTGACTAGATTAAAAAAAAAAAAAGCCTGCCCACTAGAAACCCCCCACTACTAACCACACACCCTAAATTCACACTCTTCAAAGGCTTCTCATGATGCTCATGGAGTAGGCAGGGCAGAACAGAGCAGGCATTACCTGGCTGCTTTACCAGTGAGGCACAGGAGGTGCCTGGCAGGGCAGTTCCTCCACTCCACATGCAGTGCTCTTGCCAAAATAGCTGGTGTCAGGGAGCCAGGCAGGGGGCACTTGTTACCTGCTATGAACCACACACACTGCCATCTTTGCCTCATTCAATCTGCCAAACCATTCTGGGCAGAAGGGGTATCCACACGTAAGGAAATGGGGGTTCCATCAGGTAAAGAAACATGCCTTAGGCCCCACAGCCAACTTGCACCACAGATGGAATTCCAGCCCAAGTCTGTGTCCAGCAGAGGTGGACAGAGGGCCTCCTGACAACAAGGCTCTCCCCAAACCACAATGACCCTCTCTGCTCTAGAGAAACCTTCCACCAAGCTGATAATAATGTGGGTGATGGTATATATAATAGAAAGCAGGATGAGATTCCTCCGTAATTCAGACACTGTTAATTCAGAACGGCCGTTCCTGTGTCTGTCTGACTTGGTAAAGTTTTACTGTATTTATATGGAATTAATTCCCAATAATAATAATAAAAAGAAGAAGGCTGGTATTATCTGGTTAAATCTTCAGAGAGGGGGACTTCAAGGGTGAACACGACGTAGTTCCAGAAGGCACTGGGAGAACAGAATTGGCTTTTCGCCAGAGCTGGATTAAACAGGCCAGCCTGGCAGCAATCCAAGGTGACAACCCACAACGGGGGACTAAATCATCATTGGAATACATCAGAAATATGGAGCCACGTAACTCGGTGGTTACATGCAACTCCTTACATAATGGGCAAAATGGCAGTCAGACCTGTTTCCATTCAAGCAGACAGTGCCTCTGAGTGGAACTACGCACACGCCTCGCCAGCACAGGCTGTCTCTGGTGAGAACACTTTCCCTCATAGAGCGGGATGAGTAAGACAGGCCTCACTACCAGCCTCAATGTCACCTGGCTGGCAGGCAGCTGAAATTCTGGATCTGAACAACACATGGCAGAGTGTTATTATTACTCAAATTTTAAAGAAGTTTACGAACACCTGGTTCAGGAAATCGCATGTAATAAATCCATTATTTTCAACATACAGGAAAAGGTATATATTTTTTACTAATAGAAAATCAGTTTCTCCATTCCTACTAAATAAATATGGAACAGATATCTAAAGTTATCAGTTTGATAAGGTGCCAGTGAATGACCAGCCTTTTCAGGACACCCACCTGTCTCAGGTGAGCCCTGGCTTTCCCATGAGAAGGAAGCTTGCTCGAATAATTTCTTAACTCACAAGCGTTTACAGTTCCCATAAAAAAACACAACAATCAAGCTTCCTAATCTAACCCGGGCAGCAGTAGTTGTTAGAACAATTTAATAACATTTGAGGAATCAATAGTTCAATTCATGACATAAGGGCAATTCTTCCTTCCCCAGAATCTCTAAGCTAAAAAGATCACCTTTCCACAAATGAGACGGTGTCTGTCAAAATGCTCTGCGAATCCCCTGCACATGGCAGACCCTCTTGGATAGGATGTCGGTCGGTCCCAAATCCACACCACGGACTTGCTCTCTTGGCCTGAGCTGTGTCCTCAAGTTCATAGCAAGGCCCCTCTAGGCCCAGGCTGAACAGGCCTCTCCCTTGCGAGAAGCAGAGCTGGATCCAAGTCTCTGGGGGCAGTTACTGAACTTCCACTGTCTTGATTTTGTTGAATGCATACTGTAGGAGATTACTCAATCCCTATTATTGTTACTAATATTTTCTACTAATAAAGTGACGTTTATAAATTAAAATCTTAAGAGTTGATCATAAATAACCTATTACTCAACTATTTTCCATTTTTATTTAGGCAATTCTTCTACCTGAGTTGTCATCAAGTACTAAAATTGGGTAATTTGAACTGGTCATCTCTACTTCCCTCTTCAGAGAGAAATGTAACAAATGGTGAAATGGTCCACAGAGAAGCTCAAAACGAAAGACAACTTAAAGTCAGCCATGCCTGTTATAAAGAGCTCTGAAACTTGTTCATAAACAGTGACAAAACAAATCACGTCAGAATGGAAGCATAGCAATTACAGCATTAAATTTAATACCACTTATGAAACTGTACATGGTCCTTTCCGACATTCATGTGTGCTCATCGGAGTGGTGTTTCTAGGCAAAAAAACCAAACAAACTAGTGTTTACGATTCAGGGTCCAAAAGTTTGAAACACTGCACCTCCTTCAAGAAGTAAGCTGCCACCCTCTTGGAAGTGTTCCCAAAGAATCAGTGACAATAAGGGTACCTGATTTCATTTACTAACCTTTTATATCTGCAGGAATGCTGGGAAGTCCCAATGAACAACTTCAGAAAAATGCCACCTAGAGAGACGAATTGAACAAAATGTTAGATTTTTTTTAAACACAAAGAAGACTTATCATGCCATTTTCTGTCTCATTGAAATATGTGATGTTTCAAATATCAGTCCCCAGGTTCCACAAAGTTCAACTTGCATTAGAACGTGGGCACCGCTTCCCAGGACCACTGATGCCCTAACACAGGGTCCAAACCACTGAGGAACCAGAAAAAGTCAGAGGGCAGTGGGGAAGGCACAGCCATGAAGACATACCTTTATTGTATCCTTTACTTTCCCCTCGCAAAGGGACCAACTTGAAAATACAACTGTGTCCTTGAGGGCACTTTATGAACAACCATAAAAGGTTCAAATAATCCAGAAGCAAATTAAAGAATGAAATATGAAATTGTGAATGAGGAAACTATCCTAGCAGCACTTTATATCCTTTTCAGTTACTCTGTTAATTTTTTTAAAAGCTAAATTTGCAACAATGTCAAAGACTGGAGACATGGAAACACGGTCATTAATCAGAGGAATTGAGAGGTAAGAATTTATTTAATGATTACTTCATTTATTCCAAAATCAAGTATTCCTTTGGGTGCTCTCAAAGTCTTCAGGTAACTGGAGAAAATTAGAAGCCTATTAATAGGTTTACAAAGCAGAGAATCCCAAGGTATCTGTTCAGCATTGCTTTGAAATATTAAACATAAATGGAACAAATTTCTAGTACAAAATATCAAAGTTACCATTTGTTGGAAATCTACTGTTCACCTCGGACCATGTGGCATCAGATTATAACCTTTCCAGACAGGGAGTATGTCCATTAACAGACGGGGAAACTGATGCTGAAAGAAGCAGAGAAGCTTCCCCAGTATCCTCCAGATCCAGGGTTCCCAAATCACACTCTTTGCACCCTGTCAGGTGGCCCCTTGAAAGCCCCTTCTACTCTGCATAGTCTACTCATCACCTTCTCAAATAGAAACCTGACATTCCCTAATGCCAAACCTCTGGAAAAGAATTTAACTAGCAGATAAAATGAACTTGTGATTTTGCATGTTTAAAAACAATTTCTTCTTTTCAAAATGATTAGCCTAATCGTACTATTTAAGACTATAACGTAAAATAGCACATAAGTGGAAATTTAGAAATAAAGGGTTTAGAGTTCAAGATATATTAAAAAAAAATTAGAAGTAAAAAAATATTTTTAACTGCAGGTAAGATGGATCAAATAGAAAACATTTAACAGCCTCAATTCTATTGATAAACAGGAAAAGGCCATATGCCCATCTTCTATAATCAAACTTTCCAATACACACATCATTAAACTTTGGTAACAAAAGTCTGTAGTATTAGGCCACGAATATCCACACTTATATCCAGATAACCAGTTTAACAGCAGCAGCATCAATGTTAATCCAAACGAGACTGGAGGTTGAAAAGCCAGTATGGGGCTCAAAGGCTCCTCTATCTAAAAAAATCATTTCAGTTCAGTAACAAACTTGAAGATGTCCGACAAGAGTCATTGGGCTTCACTTTATGAAAAATGAACACATAAAAGAATTCTGAACTCAAAGTCCTTTGTTATAATAGCTTAGGGGAGTTATGATTTTTAAAAAACGGTTCTTTATAAGTTAATTACTAGTTAAATTCCAAGCATTTCCCGCTATTTTATTTTACCCCTTTAGGGAAAGTCATGGGAAGTCATGATCAGTATTTTTTCTGGAAACCGCTTCTGCGAAGTAAGCCGCTACGATTATTATGAATGGGTCTGTTATACACGGAGTTCTTCATCAACATCTCATTACCTCTAAAAGCTAAACTTTGAGATGGGCTGTCCTGCAACAATTGTGTAAGGCAGGGATTCGTACTTCTCTTTTATAAACAAGAAAACTGAGCTTCCCAAAATACTGGAATTAGTACAGTTCAAAATCAAAGATAACATTTTTAAGATCTTTTTTGTTACATACAACAAAGCAAAACTCTGGACAGTTAGGACAGATCTCAAGAGCCTAATGATAATAGACAAGCCAGGGCCACATCCTGAGTCCCCACTGAAGCTTTCCAAACTCACACTGCCAGTAAAAAGTACTTCCTAGAATAAATAAATTCGGCCTAAGCTCTGAAGAAAAAGGGCATAAGTTTTCGGTATCATGATTAAGCTTTTCTCACGAGGTCGCATCTTGTGAAACCACCAAAGTGATCAGAAAGATAAAAGACGCCCCAATTCTGTTATTGGGTTTGGTCAGTAGATAGGGTGTTACAGTTATTTTCATTTTTAAAAAAAATGCTATTTCCAACAAATACCACAGATTAAAAATATACTAAGTCATACAGCCCTTGAAAGTTCACAAAAATTAGTCAGTGTATTAGGCATTAACTGTCAGGCACTGTTCCACGAACTTGAGAATTAACTCATTGACTTCTCAAAAAACCCTGAAGTAGGTGCTAGGATTATCCTATTTTAAAGGTGAAGAAGCAGGCATAGAGTTTCGAGAACTTTCTGAAAGTTACATGGCTTGCAAGAAGTGAAGATCTGAACCAATATTCAGTATCACATTTAATCCTAACAACTACACAACACAGGCAGGGAAAAAATTTTAGCCTCATTTTAAATTTGAGGGAAACAAATTCTAAGGAGTAAAGTCACATTGCTTGTTGGCAACAGGGACGAGAAGAGAACCCAGGGCATCTGACACCAAGACCCGTGCTGCCTTTTTATTTGCTTGCTTTGTTTTAAATTCTGTTCATAGATATATAACTCAATGAAGAGATACGTTCTGCCTTTAATCTCTGGGAAGACATTTCAGGGTCCTCCCACAGTCTGTGGTTTTACCATTTTTCTATTTCTCTGTGTGCAATTATGTTTTTCACTTACTGGTGGTTAAACACATGGGAGCTTATAAAAATCAGAAATATTTGTCTTTAATATTTATCATTCTTCCGTCTTTTGTAGATTAGTAGTCTGCTTGGCCATTTGAATTATTTATAACCCAATAAATGCAGGCACTACTAATTCTAGCAAGTATTCTAAATAAATTAAAACCACCATATATTTGCACATTAAGGAGTTAAAAAGTTTTTACTTCTCATTCATCTCCATTTCGGTCGCATGCCCTCCTGTTCCACTTCCGGAGGAGATCCGGAGGAGAAACAATAGCTGCCTTTAGTGCCTGAGCACAGCACCCACGTGACGGGCACCAGCTCTTATGTATTGAATTGAATTGCCAAAAACAGGAAGCTGAGTTGTAAGACTCCTTTCTCGGCTATAAATTTCTATGACTTAAAATGTACTGATTTGAATTGCTTCATGTTACTCTGTAAAACCAGAACCAAGAGGTGTAAATTATCTTGGAAATCATAAGGATCAATTTCAGCTTAACTAAAGAAAGAATGTCATAATAAACAGAGTCACTCCACAGTGGTCTAGGTTGCCTCTGGGGTGGGTTAAGAGGCAGCTGCTCATGATCATAGAAGGGGACAGTCTCAATAACTGTCCTCTAACAGAGACAGTCTTTCCATGTGCCCTGCTGTGATAGTCCACTATGCCCATCCTTGGTGAGCATGGCAGTCCCCACGGCAAAGCACTGCACAAGTTACACAGTACTTTCCAATCCATTTTCTCATTTGATCCACACTCTGTGTAGAAGGTAGCTAGAGTAGGGGGTGGAGGCAGACATCATTTATTATTCCGATTTTACAGACCAGGAACTGGAACAACTTAAGCTGAGTCACACAAATAGTAAATCCTAGAATCTGGGCTCCAAGCTGGGACTTCTGACTCCCAAGTCCAGGGTATTTCTAGCTGGGCAATACTCAACAACCAAGACATGATGCTTTTCAGCTATCACACTCATTCATCAAGGACAGGGCAAGGGTGGGCACCAAAGACTTGAAGCATGGAAGTGAATACCAAAGGAGATCAGCTAAAAGCAAAACATGGTAAGAGCCCTGCTCTCACAAACCATCCCTTCTACCTCACTCGGAAGTACTCTATATATTTGGTAGACACACTCTTCAAGGCTCTGCTTACACGTGTCAACTAAAGGAATAACTGTCTAAATCCTGCTTTACTGTGCTCTATTGATACAATAAATGCTTGGGGAAGTTGGCTCACATTATAAGGGGAGTTGGTGGCAGCATAATAAACACAAAGAGCCGTGTCCCACTTCTGCACTCAAAGCATAAATTGTTACTCAAAGACTAGGCTGGTAGTTTTTTTTTTAAAAAAGTCAAAGAAATACATTGACTCTATTCTGACAGTAGGTCCAGGATAATCTCACACTTGGGTCTGACAACAGGAATTTAACAGAAATGGGTCAGCCATTGAAGGACTGCTGATTTTCTTGCAAGATTTTCAAGGAAAGACAGGAAAGTGTCGAATTTCATGAACCTGTCTACCAAGCAGAGAGACTGGCAGGTTGCCAAAGGTTGGACTGTGTTAACTCACGTGAAATGCTGGGAACCTGAACTTCTACAATGCCCACCCTGCCACTCAGCCACGCAGAGAATGACTGAAGTTCAAATTTCCAGAGACCTCACAGACTATAAGCCAAATGTCGTTCATCACAAACACTTCCTTTTACTCTTAAGGAAGGAGAAATGACTGATTTAAAAGTCACATTAACATGCAGCTGTTAAAGGGTAAGTTTTTAAATCTAGGAACAACAGAATAGCCCACCAATGTGCCACCAACAAGTCAGACTCAATTATACTGCATTTTAACACATCAGGATTGAGCATCAAAACACTGCTATTATTATACACACATAGCCAGGACCATGTTCATCCACATAATTGTTAGCCTTTCCCCATAAATCTACTGGACCAGAAGCTCCTTGAGAACAAAACTACCTCTAGCTTACTCCTCCTCTGTATCTCCTACACTTGGCACAGTGCACAAAGTAGACATTTCTTAAATGTTTACTGAGCAAACAAAAGGATGATTGCATTAGGAACATTTTCTACAGATAAACTGAGGAGGCAGCATATGGGGAAGAGAGAAATACTGGGTTAACAGGAGGGAGA